CTGAGTGCTACGCTAACACTGGTGGTCAGAAGTCCAAGGCTACTCCCATCGGTGCTGTTGCCAAGTTCGCGACCAAGGGTCACGAAGTCGAGAAAGAAGAATTTGGCTGAAATGGCTATGGATTATGGCACTGTGTACGTTGCCAGTGTTTCAATGGGTGCCAATTACGATCAGACCTTGAAGGCTTTCTCCGAGGCCGAGGATTATGATGGTTGCTCTGTTATCGTGGCTTACTCTCCCTGCATTGAGCATAAGAACCTTGATGCTATGACCCACACTATGCAGCATCAGGCGACCGTTGCTGCTTCCGGCTACTTCCCGATCTATCGTTATAACCCGATGTTGAAGAGGATGGGCAAGAACCCCTTCGTTCTTGATACCAAGAAGCTCACCATGGGTGTTGATGCTGTCCTCGACAACGAGATGCGTTTCGGTGCCTTGAAGAAGCGTGATGCCGATTTGTACAAGAAATACAGGTCTGAGCTTGATGCTTGGGTCCGTGAACGTTACAGCAAGTACCAGAGATGGGCTGCTTTGGGTCAGGAAGATATCTCTAATGGTGTTCCGCTGACTCTTCTGTACGGCACCGAGACCGGTACTACCGAGGCCTTGGCTTATCGTGTTGCTGAACTGGCCCGTCAGCGTGGTTACGCTGTGAAGGTCATGGAGTGCGATGAGATGGACGTGAGTGAGCTCCCTGAAAACAAGAACCTTATGGTTCTTTGCGCTACTACTGGTGAGGGTACCACTCCTAGGACTGCCCTTCACTTCACTGCGCAGTTGCAGCTTGCTGCTAAGGACAACTCCAATGCTCATCTGTTGGACGGTGTCCAATACGGTGTCTTTGCTTTGGGTGACTCCAGTTATCATCACTTCTGCACTGCTGCCAAGAGAATTGACGATATCTTCGCTCAGATGGGCGGTCAAAGGACAGTTGCCATTGGTCTCGGTAACGATCAGGATGAGGACAAGTATGAGACTGCCTTTGAGGATTGGATGCCGAGTTATTGGAAGTCTGTGAATGCTCCTGAACCTGTTGATGACGGGTCCATTCCCGACTCTCAGTTCGAGGTTCGTGAGCTTGACTCTGATGAAGTCGTGGTTGCTCCTTATGAGAGG